AATACTCCATTAAGGCAAGGCCTTGTGTTAAAATTAGCAAGGATATAAAGAGATTTGAGTCTTGTAGAAGCTGCATAAGGTATGTGTCTCATAAACACTGTTCTAAAACACTGTATTACTGGTAAAACCATAACCGCATTATTTAGAAAGCAAATTGCTACAAAGACTTAGTGATAAATGTTTTAAATTTTGTATGACACTTGTTTTAGTACATTAAGGCTGCTATAACAAAACCACCAGAGAGTGGATGCTTACCAATAAACATATATTTTTCACAACTCCTGAGACTGGAAATTTCAAAATCAAGGCATCAGTAGATTCTGTGTCTTGGGTGAGCTTGCTTCCTGGTTCAAGATCAGCATCTTCCAGAATCCTTGCATAGCAATACTCTTTGAGTCTTTCTTATAAAAGCATTAATCCCCTTCATTAGGGCTTTGTCCTTATTAGCTAATCACTTCCCAATACCACCAAAATGGAGATTAGGTTTCAGCATATGAATGGAGTTGGCAGTAGGGGAGGTGGGGGGGTTTTCTTCAATCTCTATTAGTATTCATGATTCTTTATTCACAGAATGGTTCCAGTTATTTAATCTGGTAGTAAAACTTAAAAAGTCCTCATTGCTTATTCCTAAAGTTATTCTATTCAAAAACTTGCTGCCATTGATAATATATCCACAAATACTATTCAGAGTTTACTGCATTTGCCTACAAGGGAATACTATTTTTAAAATGATATGAAATTCTCCAAACTAAGATACACAGGGATTTCTAACTAATTAACTTTACAAACTTCAATACACCAGTGTCGCATACTTTTACTTCACAGTGCTGTCATTTTTCTTTTTTCTGTTACAGGGTGGTCCCCAGGAAAAGGGGAGGTTCCAGGTTCTCTGCCCCACATAGGAGGGTAGAGCTGAGCAAAGAGAAGAATCTGGAGAGGAGGCTGAGGAGGAAGGAAGCAGGATGGAGAGCCAGAAGGTGACCTGAGGAAGCCACCTGGAGCAGAGAGACAAGTGAAGAAGTGGCTCTTGTTTCTTGGTCCTGGACTGCTGAAACAGATATGGATGAGAGACCCATGGGGAGGGTGACCATGGCAGTGTTTATCTTGATTTTGATTTTGCTCTTTTTCTCCCAGACTTATCTGGCCATATCTGACCCTTTTGTATGGGTCCCAGCCAGAAGGTGCTTTAGTCTTGTGGCAGATTTTCAGGCCTTGCTTTGGGCCAATCCATTTTGAGTAGAGTTTTACCCATGAGAGGATGGGTAACTTTGGGTGTTTAACTTAGAAACTGCATTCTTTGTCTTTTCTGTATTGCAAACTACTTGTATTAAAGTTCCTTACTATTATATATAAGATCTTATATGTCTTTTGTCTTTAGAGCAGGCAGGTTTGGGGATTCAAGGGTGTCCCTCTCATTGCCCTGTAACATTTCTAGAAAAAAATAGTCCATATAGTTAACATCATTGTTAATTTTTTCTACTGAATTGTGGGAGAAATAGCTGTCTTTCCTTTGTACTTTATGTGTCATTTTAAAGTTCATTCAGCAATTCAAAAGGGAGTATATTTTGGTTCAATTGCATGAATTTTTCTTAATCAGCACAACAAATTTCTTGACCCTAGAGTAAAAATATGAGTGCCAGTGTTTGCCTTAAGATAATAAGGGACAGAAATAATAATATCTTATGACTTCTAGGTTAATAAGAAAACTTGATGGGTCATAGATTATTTCTGGGGTTTTTAAAAACTTGGTTATAGAAGATGTGGCATGGAGCTATCTGTAGCCATGTCCATCGTGACATGAAGGTGGTCTGAAAGGATGAATCTGAAGCACTCAAGAAAGGTAAAAGAAAGAGGCAGAGAGAAAGAGACAATTATAATTTCTAATGATGGCAATGAAATCCAAGTGAATTAATTAGGCTAATTCAAATTGGTTTTCTGTTACATGCACCTAAACAATGAAGTTACATTGAGAACTTGTCTGATAGTGAGTTACATTGAGAACTTGTCTGATAGTGAGTTACTGCATAGGAAAAGCCTTAAAATGTGATTCTGTTGGAGGAGAGAGATTCTGATGAAATGGTGATTCCTTGAAAGTTCAATTAAGGCTGTTGGTTAGACTTCTTGCTGTTTTCTACTACGACACAGGGCATGTTAGTCAAGAGGCTTTCACAGCAAATGTCAGGGTATCAAAAGGTGCTGGTGACTTCTTGCGGTCCTCAAGAAGTTACTAAGCAGAGATTAGGATTCAAGCTAATTTATCAGAAAGAAGAAAGGGTCCATTAAGACCTATCAAAGTGTTGGTTAAGAAATCCAAAGGGATGAAAGATAAAAAAAAAATCAGATCCTTGAAGGGAGTAACAGATGTTTAATTCTGAGATAATGCAGGGGGAGATTGCATCAGTCCCATCAATCATTTTCAGTTTCAGTATTTTTTTTTATAAAGTTGGCCTGTGCTGTTTTAAAAAGCATAATTGGAAAACATCTTGATTTCTTGTCCATCAGACACTGCCCTATTGCTTCCCTCTCTCCACCCCCACAGAATTATGAATACATATGCATTTGTGGTGCTTACTGGCTTGTCCTCACTACTTGAGTTTTGGGTTTATAAAGATAGCTTGTCACCTAATTTTACTGTAAATTTTGTCTTGCAGTTTTTGGTTTTGTTAACTAATTGATTTGACTTTTGCTTAGTTTGGGTTTTCTGAGTTGAATATTATGCTGTCATTGCCCCATTTCCTAAAATGCTTTAACTAAAATATTTTTAAATAAGATTTTTCCATTAAGAACTATCTCATCATGGAATATTTTTTTAAAGATGGAATTCCTGGGCCCTCCCTGGTGGCGCAGCGGGTTAAAGCACAGCACTAAGAAGGTAAAAGCCCTACAGCATGAGTTTGATCCCGCCCCGGAGGTGATCCACGTGGTGGGACAGACCTCTCCTGACCTATATGCTACTCCCCTCAACAGTTTACTTCATCAGTCGGCCTCTTCTGCTCCCTACTCTGTCTCTGGTGAATCCTCTCTCGGCCCCTGCACTTCTGACCTGTATCCCAGTTTTGTATTCATAAATAAATAATTCTTAAAAAAAAAAAAAAAAAGATGGAATCCCCATGAACTTACTGCTGACATTTTCTATCAAAGACAGATCACTGCTTGTCTTTCCTCATGTTTTTCTTGCACATGGTATTTTTGCAAAGCTGTGAGCATGATATAAGTATATAGTACTTTAATGTTTAATTGATTGCTATTATTGAGAGTATTAATTATTGTTGAATACCTATGATAAATCACTCAAGTAATTCATCTGTTACTGAGCCAACTCCAACATTTGGTCAAAACCATTTTTTTTACAGGTAATAGCTTGCTCTAAGTTGGTACCTATGTTTTATAAAAATATCCCAATAGGATAATTTGTAATCTTATACCAGCTGATAAAGAACAACAATAGCTATATCAGTATCAGAGGAATTTCGCTAACTGATGCTAACCAATGATTAACAACACTAAAGAGGCCACCTGGGACCACATTAATAAATAAAGAGACAAGTATAGTCATCTTTAGCTTATAATTTTACTTCATCTGGTATAGAAAACATTCCTAATAGTTTTTCTTTCCCCAGTGTTTATAATAACATCACTGTGTGTGTTTATATGCACATATTTGTTTGTGTGGGTCTGTATTTATAATCAATATTTCTCCATCGCAGACATTTCCTTTAGATATTTAGACATTTTCACCACTAGATACTGATCCAATTGGCCTTGCAAAATTAATACATACAAAACTAAACCCCTTATCATTCTCAATCAAACTTCCATCTCTTCAGATTCCTAACTTTACTCCTTAGAGATTAAGGAGTAGGCAGAGTCCCTAAACTTTTAGAGTCCTCAGTTCCCTGCAAATTGAGAAAGTCAGACTCAGTAATCCCCAGGATCCATTTCATACCCACCTATCTGATGGTATTCACTGCGCTTGCTTTGAATGAGGCCATGAAATGGATCTAGCTCTGGTGTTCCAGAGCTGGTTATCCTGTAAAACTTTTCATCAAAACTGAGATAGCGAGTGAAGCCTCACACACACACACGATGGGTAAAAAAAAAGTATGAGGGCCCTCCCTGGTGGCGCAGCGGGTTAAAGCACTGCACTGAGAAGCTAAAGCCACTTCTGCATGAGTTCGATTCCCGCCTGCCCCGGAGGTGACCACATGGTGTGGCAGACCTCTCCTGACCCACCCGCTGCTCCCCTCAGCAGTGTGCTTCGTCGATCTGCCTGTTCTGCTCCCCACTCCCCTGAGACTCTAGCCTGTACCCCGGTTCTGTATGTACAAATAAATAAATCTTAAAAAAAAAAAAAAAGTATGATACAACCTATCTCTGAAATGGCAGGTTTATATATCCTCTTTTTTAAACAATCAAATGCTCAGTATGTATGCATGTGTATGTAGTAACATAATAATTTTCACTGGTGTTGAGCTTATGTGAAATGTTCCTTGTCAGTGTTTGGGGTTATGAAGAAACGTATTTGAGAAAAAGCCTAACTCTACAAGTCAGTGAAATAAGGTAAAGTAAGGGTGCAACTCCCAACACAGGGATCACTATTTCCACAATTTCTTGTCTTTCTCTTTGCTCAGAAAATAACCAAGAAGTTAGTGGGATAATTACTCCCCAGCATATATATCTAAGATAATCTGCCAGAATGCAAAGAGTATTTCTCATCTTCAGCTGGTGACAGGTAGCCTGCCGGTTCTTAAGAGGTGGAGAACAACCGCCCAGTGCTCCAGGGGAGACTAGGTTGGGGTTACTGGAGCGTGCCCTGCAGGGCGCTGCCCCGAACGTAGCCCCACCCCTCACCTTGCGGGCGCCGCTCTCGGCCCGCGAAGGTGCGTGCGGCGTTCGGTGATTGGCGGCTGCCAGCACTGCCCGATTGCCATTGGCTGCCGGGGCCTCTTTGTTCCCGGTTCCCCGCAGCCGCCTGGCCTCCGCGGACTGGATGGCGGAAGTTTGACGGCGCTGGGTGAGTGGCTGAGGCAGTGGAGCCGGAGTTCCCGCAGATCTCCCCACTATCCGCAGCAGAGAGTAGAGGCCAGGCTCTCCTGGGCGTGAGATCACGGACAGGAGAAGGAACCCCTCTGACACCCAAAGATGGACCTGGAGACCAAAGTGAAGAAGGTAGGGTGCCGTGCGAGCGGTGGGCAGTGGCAGCTTCACCTGCGCGGGGTGCCGCCCCCTGACTACCGGTAGCGGGTGGGGCGCATGGGCCTCCCGGCGCGAGCGGACCCCGGGTCTGCTATACGCCGGGCCCAAGTATTTGTCCCTGAAGGTAGAGGGGGTGATCCGGGTCTGGCTAACTTCTGAAACCCCAAACTGCGGAGAGTCCGGCGCGTGAACCGAGGCGGCGCGGGGCTTTTCTCCCTTTCTAACCACGCCCAACGGCTGAAGGTATTTAAAAAAAAAACAACAAAAAAAAAAAAAAAAAAAAAAACTTTCTTTAAATGTTTAGGCTGAGTTGGTGCTTCCCTTAAAGGAAAGGATGAGGTTAGGGCGAGTGCTGGCGACATCGTGACTTTTTCCTGTCTCAGGAAGTTGAACTTTATTAAGCCTTTGTGGTTTAAGGGTAGTGATGTGACTTTGACAGCTCAGACCTCCTCCTCTAGCTGCTCGAAACTGCTGATTGAATACACTTCCTTAGTACCGGTGACTGGTGATAACGTGAAAAGTGATGATTTGGGGGGCGGAATTGACTGTCGTTACTTGACTTTCAAAGCACTACCTTCCTCTTAGGGAGTAATCTCTCAAGGAAAACGTTCTATTCTTTGGCAGCTAGCCCCAAGGGCGACTGTCACCAGTCATTCGCCTGGAGACCTATCCCGCTTGGCTCCTTGGCTCTACCTGTGCCGCTCCCAGGTTATAGGAGCCTTTTGTCTCCTGGGATTCGGGTGGTGACCAGACTGTGACTCAGAAGGAAGGCTGATGTCACATTCCAGTGGAACATTCCCTATGAACGATCTGTTCCAGGGCAATGCTCATATTTACTTTGTGGTAAATTTAAGCTAGCTATCTCTTACCAAATAGGGAATGAAGTTTTGCAGAGATGAAAGGGGAAAAATAGTGAGAACCTAATTTTTTCCTCTTGTCTAATACAGTTGCTAATATTGCCATTATTTCATCTTCAAAAGATGAAGACCCTAACTTGAGCATTGATTCTGTACATGCCCGGAATGGGATTTTTGCAACTGTATGCAAATATTAAATACTAAGTTAGGAAGTTGATGAAAAGCAAAAACTTGCACTAAAAAAAAAAAAAAATTAAGGACAGAAGAGAGTGAATTCTAAGAGTGAATGCTTTCTGTTCGCTATCATTTGGTTTCTTACTGTTTTATTGACTTTTAAAACACGAATTTGTGTATGTGTGTGAATCTTGCTTGCCACTGGGAAAGTAATTTGTTTGCCTCTTAGTCTTCTGCTGAACACTCTCATTTGTTTTTTAAGTGGGTAAGAGAAACTGAATTTTTTAGTGCTTTTCTAGTTTGTGCTTATAAATATTAACTCAAGAACTACTTTTTATAAGTCAATCTTTTGTGGAGAGGAAGGTATGAATAGCTTAAGTACAGAGGATATTTTAGAGTACTGATACTATTTAATATGCTACCATAATGAGGAACATACATCATTAAATATTTGCCAACACCTCTGGAATAAACATAAAAGAATGAATTCAGATATAACAGATATAAGCAGTGAACTTTTCAGGGATGGTGATGTGTCCCTATAAGTTCATCAGGTGTAATAAATATGCCACTCTAACTGGAATATTGATCCTGGGAGAGACTAAAGGGGGGGGGTGAGTGTGAGTATATGCATGAATGCTGTACCTTTTGCTCAATTTTTCTGCAAACCAAAAACTATTCAAAAACTAAAGTATACAGGGGAAAAGTCAGCATCTGAAAATGATTTTGAAATGATTTGAGACAAAGAAGTAATTTCTGAGAAAGCCAAAGAGTCATATGTTTTGACAGAAAAAATCCAGACATTATTTATGAACCATCTCCTTAGTTTCAGAGTCTGGGTTATGATTAAATAATACCCTTGATATGTGGTATAATTTTTAACTTTCATCTCTCCCTTACTTTAAGAGGTTTTCTTTCAACTGAGATTCTTATCCTTTCTAATCTGCATTCTAATCTCTCCCACATGACTAAGAAGAAAAAGGCATTCCTTAAATTTAAAATTTTTTGCAGAGACTCTTATGACAAGTCCTTGCCTCACAATCTTGTCATCACTGGTGATTATCAGGACAGAGTCCTCAACCGGGAAGTTGGAAATCACTAAAAGTTCTAAGGATTGCCAACTTGACTGTCAACCATGCCCTTTCTGTGCCTGTTGGACCTTTAACAGACTTGATGTACTGTAAGTCAGAAAAGAAGTTTACCAGTACAAAGAATTTGGAGATACAGCAATGCATTCCATAATCTTAACCATAATCTGAAAAACAAATTTGAATTACCTTTCTAACACATCAGAAGAAAATATGACAGGGTTGTGTCTGATCTGCCAGCAGTACTTTCTCATCCTGTTTTGGTACCTACATAATTTTCAGGTCTTCCTCCTTTTTGACACAAGAAAATCAATGATTTGAAAGTAACTTTAGGAAAACCGGGTTGGAAGTTTGGGATAAAGTTACAACTAACTCCCCCCCCCCAAAAAAAAACCCCACAAATCTAATTTCTGTTTAAGATAACATGGCATTTTTTTCTTTCTAAAACCTTATGTTGTTGATTTCATAAGAAATTTTCCTCAAAAATAAAAAAAGTTACTTTTTTCTGTTTGTTTCATGCAAAAAGATTACGAGGTTTTCTTTATTCTACAACCTATGTAGAAGATATTTGATTTATAAAAGGAGAATGTGGATTCCACATCCTTTACACAAATTTGGATGAACTGCCATCACAAAGACAAGGGATTTTTTAAATTAGATTATGCTATATTTTGTTCTGTGTGAAATAATAGAGCTGTTGCGAGGATGTGGGAGGTAGTTTAATTATATAGTTTTGCTTTAATAATATTTTAGAGTAGAATTTGACTTGTTTTGCCTTTGTGTTATCTTCTGAATTACTTGTTTAGCGCTCTTCCTATGTCTATGTCACTTTATTATAATTGACTGTATGTAAGGGAGCTCATGTCTGCTTTGAGAAGCTGAACAATTTCTTTTTGTGGTGAATGGCAAATCATGGCCCATAGCCAGCTGTTTTCCTCTCTGAGTTGTTCTCCCATGAGAATCACATTATTTCTTAAAAGAAAAAAATACCAGCAGGAAAGAGAATGCCAGCAATTTCCCTTACACTAACTGGAATTGCCATAGGGCTTTTAAATTTACACCACATATACATATTACATATATATGTTATATATACTTACCCCTTCTTGCTAATCTTTGATTCTTCCTAATGTCTTGACCATTTTCAAAGACTTTTCTTTTTTTTTTTGATTTTGATGCATGTTAAAGATTACACTTCACTAAAAAGCCCCTTTCTCAACATCCAAACTGATTTTAAAAGCTTTTGTTATAGCCAAAAATATATAGTGAAACCAAGTGATTTAGAAAGGGTACTGAACCACAAAGATTATTTTCATTAGAAGTTAGAATGAGCCTTTTCTCTTAGATGGCCCTTGATTGAATGATGACCTACATGCTCAAATCTACAGTTGAATTCTCTGCTTGAAGTCATTCTTGCTGAGAGAATCATTGGCAAAGTTGGGGTTAATGGGAGGGCAAGGCACTTCCAGGGTTTTGCCTTAGAGGCAGTTACTCTGTCTTTCAGAACAAGCACAGAAGAAAGCAAAGTGGTCCTCAGCTGGACTTTCATCTCTTCTAACCCACAGAGTGATTCATTACATTAATTGGATATGAAAAGTCACTTTCTCTAACTTGCCCTGAATATTATTTTGAATAGAACTGTAGTAGGTTTTCTATTGATTTTTTTTTTCCTTTATGTAATCCTATGAAGTGGAATCCGGGATTTATATCTCTGCTGGATACTAGCAGCATATCATCACCTCACCCCAACTTTGTTTGTTCATCTACAATACTAAATACTAAATCTTACTCATTCTTCAAGAAATACCTGTCTCTCAACCCCCCTTCCTGGCACTAACCTCCAGGAAATCTGTTTCCAACTAGATACAAAATCTTTTTCTTAATTCTCAGAGCACATTATCTAAAACTCTTGGGATGCTCATCACGTTTCCCTCCATGTTGATTCTTACCTAGATTACAAACTTCTTACAAGAGAGATTCATGTCCTCATACTTACATTATTATTTTGTTTGCTGTCAACGGAGTCTTTTAAAAGACTTAGTCTCATTTTAAGGATAAAAAAGCCTGAAACTTCGATGGACTCTGACAGTTTAGACTAACTTTACTATGAAGAATCTTGAACCATTATCTTCAGAATCCATGTTCCTATAACATGCCACTTAGCCTTTGAGTTCTCTTATATTCTTGCCTTGAGCACAAAATATATGTTAAGTGAATTACTCTAAAATAGAGAACAAACATTTGTTTGTTTAAAAGAATTAATATTGTAAGAAGTAGTTTCTGTCAATAAAATTACAACTCTGTGGTTTTCTACATTTTACTTAGAATTTATTCATGTTTTTTCTGTGCCCTTTATTTAAGTTACTGTTGTTCTTCATTTGACGGTATATAAGAAAAGTAGAAGTATTATGACAAAGAACTTCTGTGAGACTTAATAGGCATAAAAATTTCTTTAGTTCAATAATATAATAGACCATATTCTCTAGGATTTTTCTAGTTTACTAATTTTTTTTCTAGTTTACTAATTTTTATTGATTTATTTTGTATGGTTATAGACAGTAATGGCCCTGTATTTGGGGCTCTGCTTTAGGATTTCCAACTATAACATCTGGACACTAATGGTTACACTATTGAAAGTATTCTACACCAGATAGAAAGCATGGCACATAGGGTGGTGATAAGCCTTTTCCCTAGCAACAAAATGATCACAGTACCACTGGAATGGCAGGGCAGAAAATTCAAAATAAAGCAGTTAAAAAAAATTAAGAAGGGCCCTCTCTGGTGGCATAGCGGGTTAAAGCACAGCACTAAGAAGCTAAGGCCACTTCAGCATGAGTTTGATCCCCGCCGCAGA